GGGAGGAGGAGTGGGGGGCGTAGTAGGGGTAGAGGCAGGGGGGTTTGGGAGCCCAGGACTCCTGGGTTCTCTCCCCGGCTCTGGGCGGTGTGGGGGTGTCTGACCTCTCCCTTTCCTCCTCGCTCAGGCCTGCGTGTGACGAGGATCCTGGCCTTGCTGCATGGCGACCTGCACCCGCCGGGCCTGGTGGAGACCCTCCGCTCCCTGGCCCGAGCCGTGGTGGGGGTGGGACCGGCCCCTGAGGGCGTGGGGAGTGGGGGGGACACCCCCCGGCTGGCCTCCATGCTCCAGCGTAAGGAGACCGGGAAGGTCCTCGAGAAGGTGGGGGAAAGCAGGCGGAGACGCCCAGATCTGGGGGGGGGGCGGCGGTGAGGGGTGGATATTGGGGGGGCAGGGATCCCCCAGATCAGGGGACAGTGGGGGGGTTAGTGGCGGGTAGGGGGTCTCGGATGGGTCAGGGTAACTTAGCGGCTGGGTGTGCAGGGGACAAGGGAGTTGTATGGAAGGGGCGACAGCCCCCCTTTGAGGCTGGGGGGGGGCAGCAGTGGGGGGCAGCGGATGCCAATCAGGGGGGGTTGGTTCTATCTCATCCTCTCTCCCCCCCCCCGAAGGAGGAATATTTCACCATCCTGGCTGGCTTCACCCCAAAAGCCCTCGGGGAGCCCACGGGGAGCGTGCCCCGAGATGAAGACACCGACCCCCACTCCATGGTACGATCCCCCTCCCTTTCCTCATAGGACCGGAGGTCCCCAGTTACACAGCAGTGGGGTGGGGGGATCAGCAGGTATCTGGACACCGGAGCACCCCAACTCTGTTCCTTTTGAAATCCCAGCTTAGCTGCCCCCCCCGGCACTGGGGGGGCAAAGTGGGGGGGTCTTGGGGAGCATGTTGGGGGGGGTGGGATAGAGGATCTCACAGGTGAGGGGCGTGGGAGTTAGCAGAGATCTGAGGTGCTGGGTGGGTTCAGGGATCTTGGGGTGGGGGGGAACTGTACCTCCCAGGGGCACCAATTGGTGCTGATTTGGGGAGGGTCTCGGGAGATGGGAAGATTTGGAGGTCCTGGGGGTGCTGCTTGGGGTTGTGGGGTGTCTCGGGATGGGGGAATCTGGGGGTGCTGGTTTGGGGACAGGGTAGTGGAGGTTTGTGGGGCACGGGATGGGGGGTGTTGGAGATATTGGGGGCACTGATTGAGGGGTAGGGTTGGGGGGCTGTCTGGGGATGGGGGGGGCTCTTGAGAGAACCCCGATTTCCACTGTGGGCCCCTCTAGCCAAGCCGTTCCCCCCCCCATGGAGGGAGGTGACCCAGTGGAGTGACTCATACTGGGGGGGGGGGGGCGCTGGACTCCCTGCTCCCCTTCCCCGCCCCCCAGCAGTGTGTGTGATGGGCGTCTCCACCCCCCCAGGCGGATCCCGCCGCCAACCTGACCTTCAACCTGCGGCTGTCGGACACGGAACGCCGGGCCCGGGACGGGGTGCCGCTGCCCTTCCACTTCAGCGCCCAAAAGTGAGTGGGGCGTGTGCCCCCTGCCTCCCCTCTGCACCCCCCCAGGGGAGACGCCCCCCACCTCCGCTCGGCACCTCTTGCTCCCACCTCCTTTCTGCCCCTGATACCAACCAAATTACCCTGGCCTCTACCCTGCCCCTCCGCTCCCTTTCCACCCACCCTCCTGGGTCTCTCTGCCCTGCCTCCGAATCCTCCCGATGCCCGTCCTGCTCCCCAGCCATCCCTCCTCTGCCCCCCGATCTCTAGATCCGTGGGAGCTGACCCCCCACCCCGTCCCTCCCCGTGGTAGGAAGTCGTCACTGCTGGAGGCCTCGGCCAGCGCCGGGAAGATCTACTACGAACCAGACGCCGCAGACGACCTGGACGAAGAGGATCCGGACGACGACCTGGACGTGTGAAAGCCGAGGGGTGTGTGTGTGGGGGGCTCCCCCCTCCCCCAAATGGACCCCTGGATCTCTGCTTCCCGGCGGGACCTTCCGAGAGATCTGTGAGAGCCCAACTCCGGCACCACCATGTGGGGAGCTACTCAGGAGCGCAGCTGCGTGCCCCCGCTCAGGGCTGTGTCTGGGGCCGGGAATGGGGCCAGTGGGCTTTTGACTGGGGTTGGTATCTGTCTGGCGAGAAAAGGGGGGCTGGGCCTTGTCCCCCTGCACCCATGCCAGCCCCCCCCACCGTCCCTACCACCCCCCCCGCCATGGCATGGGAATAGACTTCCATAAAGGAAGGGTGGATGGGAACCAGCGCCCCCGAAAGGGAGAAAGACCCTATGCCCCAGTCCCCGCCCCCCTGCGTCAGCCAGTCCCTGCCCTGGGGCTGGATGGGAGCTGGGGCCCCCTAGAGGGGACAGGCCCCATGCCCCATTCCCTGAGCCACCTAGTCCCCGCCCTAGGGCCGGATCGGAACTGCCCCCTCAATTTGCAGCGGTAGGACTCATCCCTCTTCAGTCCAGAGAGGCCCCCATGCCCTTAAAACTAGCTGCTTCCCCTTTTTGGTAGGACCTACAAAAAAAAAAAACGCCAACACCTCCCGCTGCTGCCACCTCTACCTGACCCCAGCGTTGTCCCCTTGTGCTATAAACCATGTACTTGTTCAGCAGTGAAATGAAACTGAAGCGTGTTAATAGTGGCGCATGTGGGGGGGGATTGACAGTGGTGGAGGGAGAGGAGAATGCTGGGTGGGAGGGGAGTGGGGGCTGGTGGGTTAGATCAGGGAGGGCTGGGAGCCCGGACTCCTGGGTTCTCTCTCCGGCTCTGGGAGGGGAGTGGGGGATGGTGGGTTAGATCAGGGGGGCTGGGAGCCCGGACTCCTGGGTTCTCTCCCCAGCTCTGGGAGGGGAGTGGGGGCTGGTGGGTTAGATCAGGGAGGGCTGGGAGCCCGGACTCCTGGGTTCTCTCTCCGGCTCTGGGGGGGGGGGGGGGGG